AATGCATAGAGCATATTTTCCTCGATATTCTTCAATAGATGGTATTTATTAAACAGTGTATTTTATCCTAGAGAAGACTTCCTAACTCTTTCTTAAAATACAATTGCTCACACATTCAATTGTTCTGAAGTGGGCAACAAAAACATTTTTAAGGTGTCATTTTTCTTACATTACTGTCAGAGTTATGTGGGTTACATGAGCTTTGGTAAATCATCAGCGAAAAGATAAGGGTCAGAACCAAATGGAAATGTTTGTTGTGATTAACTTAGGGTATAACCACAGACATAAGTGATATAGCATGGAACCCTTGGGGTGTGTTCAAGGTAGATGTAAGTAATATACTGATTTATAGAAGAGAATCCTTCAAACACATCTAGTACTACTAACTTTTCTAGATTAATTATCTGTTGAATATTAGCTTGTGCTAACATTGGGCAATTCTTAATATTGGCAATTGTTGCTCATTTAGTGACCCTCTGCCATGTCGTCTATCCTGTTTTGTGTACTTTACACAGACGCTCGTGACACAGGTTTAATTATTCTTATTTTACTTATTTGGAATTAGAGACCCAGACAAATGAAATGGTTTGTCTCAGACATTGTCCAGGGAAGACTAGGACAGAATCCCGCATCTGCCTGATTCCAAAGTTATATTACTGGTGATTAAATGGGTTTTTCTAAAAGTATCTATTGATTCATTAAATGTTGCATGTTTTTCACTATGATTTATATTTCCCTGCTTAAAAAAGTAAAAGTAGTAAAATAATTGAAATTAAAATAGTTTAATACAAATTTTACTAAATAGGTTGTTTTACAGTGAAGGAAGGAAAATCTGATAATTTAATGTTTACTTTTAAAGGAGGTGCCTCATTAGACCTTAAAGCTTGTCCTCCAAAACCATCAAAATGGATCCTGGACTTGACGTGGCTGAATTTGGTGGAACTTAGCAAACTTAGACAGTTTTCAGATGTCCTTGACCAGGTAACAGTGCTTTGAATTAACTTAAGCTAATGTCAAGTTGAGCAGCTTTCTGATTTATCACTAGATATAATATTTGTGGAAGAGAGATAGTTCTTAATATTGCACTCTTAATATGGTGTTACATGTACTTGACCTTCCTTGAAGCTCAGCTACACTCTGATAAAGCATACTCCGCTCATCATTAACTGGTCTTGCAGGAAGAAATGTGCCCAGGAACTTTAACTAGTATCATCCTGGGCCATATGTTAGTATCACCAATCGGAGGTCCAGAAGTAGAAAAACTGATAGATCCAATTTGATTAAATAATTAGACTCAAAAAGGCGTTTCCTTCTTTCTAGAGGTTAAATGAAAAGACATAAGAACAGATTGCCTCTAAATGCTAAATTTCCTTTCTTGCCTCTTGTTTCTCTCTCTCTTCGTCTTCTTCCCCTCCTGCGCTTCCCATTATTTGACTTAGTTAGGCACCTGGGTATGAATCTCATGCAAGCACTTGGCCTCTTGTCTTTAGAAGTTATCATCCTTCTAGAATCAGCCAACTCCTGATGAACTCTGCATGTGCTGGAATCATGGAAGCTGGGTATAGAGAATTAAATTTGGGACGAGCCAAGAAGCAGGTTCTTGAAAATCAAGTGACCATAGAGAAATGGGATTGGCAGCAGGGTGGCTTTATTCAGCTATAAGTTGAAGCCTTTTTTTTGGCCAGGAAATATCTTAAAGTTGGTTCTTGACTTCCCCAGTTTAAGTTGGCCAGTTGCTTATGTTCTGCTATACTTTTATGTTTTGGCTTATCACTGGTGATGTTTTTTATTACTACTGTGTACTTGGGGGTACAAACCATTCTTTTGAGTTATTCCCCTATAGAGTTACCCCCAGCAACCTTGCCCAGATAATTGATATTGAAGTTGCTACCTTCTGGAGATGATATCTTATGCATGAAACCCCTCAATATTAAGTAGTCTTTCATGATTGAAAGAAGTTACTATTTTTATTCTTACATGATACTTTCTAAATATGAACCTGGAATGATTTGCCCTTGACTATATCCCAAGAAAGACATTTGAACTCTTAATGAAAGGGAATATATCAGAGAACATAAGATGATATTTATCTGTAGACATTATTTGTTTGTTCGGTGTTTCTGATCTGCTTACTATGTAATTCCTACCTCTCTCTGGTGTTTTAAGCTGCAGAGGATAATGTACTATGTCCTTTTACTCTTTCCCAGTTGCCTAAGGGTAGCAGGTGTCTGATCATTCATTTGATGATATTAACTGGCATATTTCCAATTACTCTAGATTAATGGAATATTGATCAGAAAGCTGTTCATTCAATAATAAACATGTATTAAATGTCTTCTTTTGTGTCAGGAGTGGTCCTGGGAAATGAGGAAACATTAGTGAATGAGATTTAGTTCCTGACATGAGAAGATTTTGTGGAGCAAATCAGACTTTGTTGAAATAATGAAAATGAGTTTCCATTGATTTTGTTGTATTCTTTACAAATTTGTTACCACAAAGGCAAAGAAGAAATTAAACATCCCAGGACTCTCCCTACTTTGAAATGTAGTTGTAGGCTGATGTTAATATAGACTGACTTTGGAGCAAATGATATTAGATTTTAGACAATCAAACTTTTTGACACTATAATATAAAATAAAAAAATAACCAAGGAATATAATTTACACATATCTGGAGAGGTCAGAGGTTTGATGAAACATGTCTATGACCTGTTACTGAAAGACTGTTGGGTGGCATGACACATTTTTTATCCCATGGTATTTTCAGATATCGAGAAATGAGAAAATGTGGAAAATTTGGTTTGATAAGGAAAACCCAGAGGAGGAACCTCTTCCAAACGCCTATGGTAAATCTCTCGACTGCTTCAGACGTCTTCTCCTTATTAGATCCTGGTGTCCGGACAGAACCATTGCCCAGGTAAAAAGTCCATATTAAAGAGAAAAATGAGATAATATTTTTAAAGGTAATTTTCTTTTAAATTAAAAAAGTATTTAAAATGTGAATTCCAGTGAGAATTTTCTTGTAGGCTTCTGTGATTTTCTAGCAATATGTGTGAAAAATGGAAAAGTAAACCACAAATGAATGTATTGAGACATACGTTTGGGCTAAGTGATTTAGTAACTTTTTCTGACCTGACTGCTACAATAGGAGTAAATGAGAAAACCGTGATTCTAAGGTTGGCATATAGGTATAACATAAGGGTAATGCATTATTCTTTTATATCATTTTATATTCAATCAAAAATTATATGGCTGCTCCATTTTGCTGGTAGTAAAACAGTGTTTCTGAAAGCAGGAAGAATATAAAGGTGTTAGGGTGAAGAGACTGGGGGAAGGACAGTGTGCCCAAACTGTAGTCATTTCTCCAGAAGAATGTCACAGCTCTAGATGTCAGTAGGTTGTCTTACAACTGAATTTCACATATGGTTTAAATGTGAATCCTGCCTCCAGACGATTCATCTGTTTAAAGACCTTTAATTTACTGGCTTAGTATCATGGGACTCTACCCACTATAAGGACTTGTGTCTTGCCTTTATGATGAAAAGTTTAACTCTGATACTCAGCCCAGGTTGACTACTTAAGGGCCTTTCCAAATAAGCTGTGGAGTAGCAATAGCCTTGGGTTTATAATAGAATGTAAGATATATTCTCCTTCATTCTCCAGAGGGAGTGTTAAAAACTTATGGAGTAACTACCTCCAAGTGCACTTAGGTACTGTGGAATCATGAAAACAACCAGATTCAATGATTTATTGAGAAAAGAAAAATGAGTTTCACAATTCGGGGCACTGAGATCACCTTTCCTTTCAGTTTTTCTTCTCAGTTTCATTACTTTTATCCTGCCCAACTGAATTGTCAAATGGTTGCCTTACTTAAGGACAGTGTGGAAAGAAATGTTTGAGTAGTCTCTTTCTTATCTTTTTCCAGAAACTCTATTTGGTTCAATGCTGAGATTTAAGTAACTCTTTTTTTTGTAACTTTATCTTCATTCCAGCTTCTCTGATCCCTGGACTTACCACAGCCATGGCCTCGTACCTGTTCTCCTTACATTTCTTCTTCTGTACCCTAGTCCACCCAGCACATGCTAGAAGAAATGCAAAGATGGCGCCATTCATTGACTTTTCAAGTCCTGTGGTATCTTCCCATGGCCCTTGTGACACCCAAGTGCTAAACAAGGTTTAGAACGTCCATTGGATAAATGTTCTCTCCTCTCAAGTTCTTTTTCTCCTTTTAGAATCCTTTTGTGATTTTCAACCTTTCTGGGAAGGTTGAAAACAACTTTCTGGGAAGTTTATTAGAAGGTCTACAATGTAGATACATTCAATCTCATTCCCCATAGGCTATATGCATTTCTTATTCTCTGCATTTTGGCTGAGTGTAACTGTCCACATCTGGGCATGCCTGATCGCAAAAATGCTGCACTCTCACAGTGTGTCTCCTGAGAGGTACACATTTGTGTCTTAAAAATCCTCAACAGGCTGGGCACGGTGGCTCACACCTGTAATCCCAGCACTTTGGGAGGGTGAGGCAGGTGGATCATGAGGTCAGGAGTTCAAGACCAGCCTGGCCAACATGGTAAAACCTGTTTCTACTAAAAATGCAGAAATTAGCCAGGCATGGTGGCAGCACGTGTAATTCCAGCTACTTGGGAGGCTGAGGCAGAAGAATCGCTTGGACTCGGAAAGTGGAGGCTGCAGTGAGCCGAGGTCGTGCCACTGCACCCAGCCTAGGTGTCAGGGTGAGACTCCATCTCAAAAAACAAATACTCAACAAAAGGAGATTGGCACAGGTGTGCAGGTTGTTTGTTCATTTTCTCCCCCATTCATAGGCTGAATCTGTTGCGTTGGGACCACATACGGGGATGAACAAGTTCTGCAGAGTTGTGTGAAGGGCAATGTATGAAAATGCAGCACTCCTCTGTGGGGTGTTGGCTGTCTTTAAAGGCTGGCAGGCTGTGCAGAAGTCTGGCTTGCCACACCTGAATTAACTCTTACATCACTTATTATGGGTGTCCTCCTGTCCCTAGCCAGTGACTTGCTCTTTTCTGCTTCATGGTCTCTGCATATGTTTCTTCTGCATAGAATGCACAGGCTCTGACCCACTTAGCTGTCCTCTTTGCCTCAATAAATCCCATTCATTATCCAAGCAACAGCTTAAATGCTTCTTTCACAAGGGAGCCTTCTCTGATATATTTCTGCAAGATTAATCGGTTTCATACTTTCATGTCTCCCTGCAAGTCATAAATCCTTCAAACTAGTTATTTTGCTATTACTTGCTCAATGTATGTCTCATCCTGGCATGCAGGTGGGGGTCAAGCTTCATAAGGGCTGGACCATTTGTTCACTTCTCTAGTCTTAAAACCTGTTGCACTGCCTGGGACAGAGGAGAGGGTCATGGGCCAAGGTTTATACCTGTTGCATGAGGTGAATCATCTAACATGGTTTGTTAGTTTTTGCACTGCTGTAAATAAATACCTGGCACTGGGTCATTTATAAAGAAAAGAGGTTTCATTGGCTCATGGTTCTGCAGGTTGTACAGGAAGCATGGGGCTGGCATCTGCTCAGCTTCTGGTGAGGCTTCAGGAAACTTTCAATCATGGCAGAAGGTGCAGGAGGAGCTGGCATGTCACATGGCGAGAGCCAGAGCAAGAGAGCGTGGGGAGATGCTGCATACTTTCAAACAAGCAGATCTGGGAGGAACTCACTCACTATCATGAGTACAGCACCAAGCCATTCTGTGGGACTCATCTCTATGAGCCAAACACCCCCCACCAGGCCCCACCTCCATCCCTGGGGATTACAGTTCAACATGAGATTTGAAGGGGGCAAACATTCAAACTATATTATTCCTCCCATGGCCCCTCAAATCTCATGTCCTTCTCACACTGCAAAATTCAATCATCTCTTCCTAATCATCCCCCAAAGTCTTGTCACAGCATCAAGTCCAAAGTCCTAAGTCTCTCTGAGACTCATCTTCTCCCACCTATGAGCCTGTAAAATCAAAACAAATTATTTCCTCCCAAGATATAATGGTAGTAAGGCATATTATCATTCCAGGAGGGAGAAATTGGCCAAAAGAAATGACTAGTAGGCCCTATGCAAGTCTGAAGCACAGCAGGGCAGTCCTTAAATCTTGAATCTCCAAAATAATTTCCTTTGACTCCATGTCCTGCATCCAGGGCACACTGGTGCAAGGGATGGGCTCCCAAGACTTTGGGAAGATGGGGAGACTGAGTGATGCCTGGAATTATTGTCCTACTGGCCCGGTGAGATAATGCAGAGTGTTGGGTTGAAGTTGAGGTAAAGAAGATGAAGAAATGTGCTCTTTCTAATGCACGCATGTGTGATTTCAGATCCATGCCTACTGCAGTGGGGCCTTACCTGGGGTTGCTGAGCATCCTTGCATATTACGTATTTGCCCCATAGACTCATTACATCCCTTAGGCTTACAGCCAATTTGAACCATGACGGTGACCCTATTTAAGAATATCCCTTCCCAGGAACTGGAATTATGACCAAAGGTCCTTTCTCCAGATATAAGTGAGGCAGCCTTCCCTGTTGTTATCTGTTCCAGAGGTTGGCAAAGTAGGGCCTGCCAACAACATTTGGCCCACTGTCTGTTTATGTTCAGCTGGCTACTTAAGAATTATATTTTTAAATACCTGAAAAAAATCACCAGAAGACTGATATTTTGTGATAAGTGAAGACTGTATAACATTCACACTTCAGTGTCCCTAACATTTTATTGGAACATAACCATGCTTTTTATTTGTGTGCCTATGACTGCTTTTGTGAACAATGGCAGAGTTGAGTTGCAATAGAGATGATTTGGCCACGAAAGTCTAAAATATTTACCATCTGGCCCCTCAGTATTCTAGCATGTTAACTCATGGCTTGGATGATAATACCTGAACTGGGTCAATGCTGAGTTATATGGCAGAATTGGCCATGTTGAGACCTTTGCTACCCTGGGGTAGAAAGTGCTTGAATCTTGATGAGTTGCATTGTAGAGATGCTGCAGTGATGGCGGTACATGTGGCTGAGAAACCACTGCAACTGTGGAATGCCTCCGTGTCCAGCCTTTGAAGTCCTTCCTGATCACAGGACTCCCTGCTTTGGTGACTGTGACTGAATGTGCACATGGAGTAGACATTTGGGGAAGTCAAAGAACATGGCAGTCAAACTTATCAAACACCTGCCAGAGGCTGTAGAAAAATATGTAAGTTTTTATATGCAAGGTAGAGATTTAGATATTGGATCTGCCCAACCTAGAAAAAGTATTGAGAGGCATGAAAATAAATAGCATCCTGTGCCTCAAATTCAACTGGACTGAAATTCACCTCCTCAAAACCTCCCAGCCACTGAACTAATAAAGAGGAAGGTTGGAAGGTGTGAGCCTCTTTGTGGGTGAGGAGCCGAGGTGCTGTTAGTCATTTCATTGCCAGTGGCCTAGTCCTGTCAAAGAAGGCCTGACCACCATTTCTTGTTCCTTTGGGAAACCAGGTAGAGGTCCTTCCCCAAAGCCATCTAGAAATAGTTGCCAAGGCAGGAAATCCTGTGTATTCTACAAAGTTGGCATGCCTGTTAATCTGCCATTGGTATGGGGGAATGGACTTTATGAGGAGGATTATGACTTTACAAGAAGGAGAAGAGATCCACAGTAAAATGGCCCAGCTGTTTCTGCATTAGCTGGTCTGAGTTAGGGAATGTGAACGCTCCTCTTTTTGTGTTTTGCACTCTCACGAGGAAGATGGACATTTCATGATGACCAAGTTTCAGACACCCTGTCCCTGGCTATACGAATGATGAAGCTTGTGTGAGAAGTCTCCACACACCAGGTGGAATCAGAAAGTAGGATCAAGCCAGTCGTTCAACAGTCTAGACTCATGTGGCACCCATTTTACCTCTCTTACCAAGCTACGAGAGGACATAGTAAGCCAGGAGAGTCCTCTGTGGTGGCCACTTCTCTTTCATTGTAACCCACAAAGAAGGCAAACACGAGTGGGAAACATCACACCAATTTGTAAGCTCAGATGCTTGGGGTACATTTTGAGGATGAATAGGGGATAGCAAGATATTGAAGATGAGGGATGAGCCCACATTACTGGCTGAAAATCAAACTCTGATGTTTTAAAGTCAAGGATGATGACTGAACCAGCTCTGGCTCCCGTTTGGTCCAGGTCTATCTGAAACCTGTCTGATTCAAGGGAAGCTCCATCTGAAGTTGTTTTGTGTTTCTATGGGAATTGGAGTGGGGAGGCTCACCTACCTAGCCCTTGGGAGAGTTACAGGTCATGTTGCACCCATGCCTAAGTTATGATTTTTGTGGGGAATGCTGCTGGGGAGAGAAACTTGGGTTTTACCCATCTAAGGTGGAAGAAGATCACACGAATAGGAGGAAAAATGTTTTTGAGGGAACTTAATTATTTAGAAGGCAGAGAATATAGACTAAGGGTCGTATTCACAATACCATTTGTTGAAAAATAAATTATAACACTTTCACCTCATTTGAAAAAGGAATTTGTTGTTACCAGAATGTGTTTCTATGGTTGTAATAAAGTTGACAAAATCTGTGATATTTTGAGTATGGATTTCGTTCAAAACAAAATTAATAGTAAAGGGATGAGCCAAATATGGGAAGGAACGACGACAATGATGAGGAGAGAGAATATGAATTAAATCTTTAAAAACTCATTCATTCATTCATTCATTCATTCATTCATTCATTCAACAAATATCCAATACATTTCATGCAAGTAGTCACTCAGTAATTATCTATTTGATCAGTACCCATTACATTGCAGGTATTGTATTGCTTACTTTATTATTTACATGCATAAATATTTGCCTTAGAGCATCCTAAACAATAGTTTCCCAGTATTTTTGTTTTCTGGTGTAGCAGGAAGCAACCAGTGTATTGAAATGGGTTTCAGACCAGGGATCATACAACTTTGGTTCTTTTTTTTGTACTGATTTTTGTACTGTAACTTTGGTCTGATTTTGTACTGGTTAAGCAACACAGTCTTCCCACCTACAGAATGGAGATATAAACAAACAAATATGACAAAACAGTCTCTACCCTGTTTCCCTGACAGGGTTACTGTGGACATCATTGAGATCATTACAAAACTGAATTTTGGAAACTCTACTACATTATCCACATGAAACAGTTGGAACGGCTTTTGCTGACTTGTGTGCTGTTTTTGGCAGGCCCGCAAGTACATCGTGGACTCCATGGGAGAAAAATATGCCGAAGGTGTTATTCTAGACTTGGAGAAGACGTGGGAGGAATCTGATCCACGGACGCCACTCATCTGTCTCCTGTCTATGGGCTCAGACCCCACAGATTCCATCATTGCCTTGGGGAAGAGATTAAAAATAGAAACCCGTTATGTGTCCATGGGCCAGGGCCAGGAGGTCCATGCTCGGAAGCTCTTGCAGCAGACCATGGCAAACGTAAGGCTGAGTGTCTACTTTTGTGCTGTTCGTATTACAGATTATGGAATAGCAATGCAGAAGAAAAATACAAATCATTAGGAGTTTAAATTTACATGCTGCCTGCTGTTTACTAAACAGCATTTTTTTAAAAAAAATTTAAGCTAACATTAAAACTTTTGAGGCAATGTGGCAAATAAATCAACTACCCAAGGATAGCAAAGTGGATGGTATACTCAGTAGGTTGAAAACAAAACATTTAATGCAGAGAATGGCAATCCCAAAGAAATGGGATTCTGGGGGTGAAGATGGAACATCGGAGTTCTCACCTAAGAAGTTTAGATCACCTGGGTGTGATGCCTCACAACTTAATCTCAGCACTTTGGGAGGCCGAGGCTAAGGATTGCTTGAGCCCAGGAGTTCAAGACCACCCTGGGTAATATAGACCTCATCTTTACAAAAAAAATTAACTGGATGTGGTGGCATGTGCCTGTGGTCCCATCTACGTTGGAGGCTGAGGTGGGAGGATCACTTGATCTGGGAAAGTAGAGGCTGCAGTCACTGCAGTCCAGCCTGGGTGACAGAATGAGACCCTTTCTCAAAAACCAAAACAAAGCAAAATACAAAAGAAGGAATCTCAGGGCAGGGTTCACTTCTATGCTGGATAAAAGAGAGAAGCTGAAGTTTTTTTGTAGTTGCTGTGTTTTATATTGAATTTCCTTTTTGTTTTGAATTGTGAACAGTATCAATTGAAATTTTCAAAGGGTAAAGGTTGGATAATTTATTCATCAGTACTGTAAATTTCTGAAGAAAATATAAGGAAAACGTGAAATCTCTAAATTATCAGTTTTACATGTAACTGCTAAGACTTTAGATCTAATGCTTTTTTTTTTTTTTTTGAAAGACAACTCATGCTGCTCTAGTCAGTGATCTAAGATGGGTTATGGAAAAACACCTCAAGATTATGATCTGGATCTTGTAGATGATTTTAGCAAAAATATTTTATAGATTAGATATTGAGGAAATTATTGTTACATGACCCCCAATTTTGCCTGAGTTGCATTACACAAAGATCTTCCTATACTTATGGTATAATTCAGGCAAGAGATATGGCTTATTATTTTCGAAAGTTCTTGCTCTTTTTAGTGTGGTCAGATTCCCAGGGAAGGTTCTTCCACGTTCTAAAGGGTGTATGCTCTGTTGCCAGGATTCTGAGAACTAGTGGGAGGCAGGAAGTTGCAGGTCTCAAAATTCAGCAGGCAATCATTCTTCCACCTGATTTCAGTGTAGTACCTATTCCTTCAGTGTACTGGTATCCTCCAATCTAGACCCTGTTTTGCCTTCTGTAGAAAATCAACTTCTCATTTTTCATTAAGGCAGGCAGAATTTGGGGAGTTATGTGGTATATATCAGGTTGCAGCTCAGCTTTCTCTAAATGCTAGTTTAGGATTCAACTTTCTTGAACCTCTTTTAAATGTTAGTGATAATGTCTTCACTCTCTCTGTCACTGTCCTTAAGAGTTCATGCCTTTAAAAATTTTCTTCATTGTAGTTTTAATGGAATTTGGGGAGGGATCTGAGTTAAATGGATGTTTTCAATCAACCATCTTTACTTGGAAGTCCTTTTATGTTTAACTTTGATTATATTCATGACTGCAACCACATAGTATTGGTACAATTGCATACTAGTGTATACTGGAACAAATGCATGGACTAAAAAAAATAGCTTGTCTCAATTAAACATTTTTGTTTTCTGAGATTTGACCTAGATTAATTTAAAGTGGTTTCTGTAGCCCAAGCCGGAGTGCAGTGGCGCGATCTTGACCTCGGCTCACTGCAAGCTCCGCCTCCCGGGTTCACGCCATACTCCTGCCTCAGCCTCCTGAGTAGCTGGGACTACAGGCACCTGCCACTGCGCCCGGCTAATTTTTTATATTTTTAGTAGAGACGGGGTTTCATCGTGGTCTCGATCTCCTGACCTCGTGATCCACCCAACTCGGCCTCCCAAAGTGCTGGGATTACAAGCGTGAGCCACTGCACCCGGCTTAAATTGTAATTACTTAATTTCTAAAGAATGTCGTAATTTCGAATTTGGGTGAAACACAAAATCACCTAACTTCCATTTACTGCCGTTGACTTAGGGAGGATGGGCACTTCTGCAGAACTGCCATCTGGGACTTGATTTCATGGATGAGCTGATGGACATAATCATAGAAACTGAGCTTGTACATGATGCATTCCGCCTCTGGATGACCACCGAGGTTCATAAGCAGTTTCCCATTACACTCCTTCAGATGTCCATTAAATTTGCCAACGATCCTCCACAGGGCCTCCGGGCAGGACTGAAAAGAACATATGGTGGTGAGTCCAGAAATACTTATGAGTCTATAGGAGTTTTCTGTACTTAAATTGTTTTCCTAAAAAAAATTATAAAAGGATTAACTAGGATACGGTTATAGCAAATAGTACTGCTGTTTAACCTGATGGGGAGGTGATGGTCCTCTTTTGTAAGTATGCCCCGGCAGTGTTAACGAATCAGAGTTCATGATTCCTACCTTCTAGTTTCCTATTTTCCCAGTACTGCCCTATTTAAGCCCATGCTGTTCTCCAGCTAGACATAATTAACATCAAAAATGAACAATTTTGTCATTTATGGTCTCTGTGCTCCATACCTAAAGTAGTACAGTAGTCTCTTCCAAGAGGAGAGTCTGAGTTACGGTGATGCCTGCCTGCCTTTCATTAGGGCCATATGTCAGAAGGTAGCTAAGTTAAAAATCCAGTGGCAGCAAACTCAGGCCCAAATGCCCCCATCATGACTGGGGCTGAGGTCGCTCTCTTGGCCGCTGCCTCTTCTGCTTCATAGCTTTATGTATGGGATTTGTGGTCATGAAAAGAACATGGAACTTTCAGTCGGAAATTCTGATTCTGGCCCTTGCTGTTGACAATTACTTTGTTCTCTTGGGTGCGAGTCACTCAATCTGAGTTTCAATTTTCTCACATATAAAATAGGGACAAGAGAATCTCTCCAGGAGAATTGAAATAAATTGTAACTAATATCATGTATTTCATAACCATAATAAATATAATTATTGTATTTCAATCCGGAAAACCTGCAAAGAGACTTCCGGGGAGTTGTTAACAAGGCTGAAATTTCTGCCAATCTATAAGACAATGTGGGGATAAAATAGAGGTGGAAGGATAATGGCAGTAAAAGAAAATAAATAAATCTAATTATATATACAATATAGTATATGCATATGTATCAATCATTATTATTTGGAGCATGTACTCAGGTGCAAAGGGCTTCTATATATACTATCTTAATTAATATAAAATTAGTTAAAAGTATGTGCCCCAAGTATATGCTCAAAACAACAGTAATAATAATAGAGTAGTAGTTACAGTAATAGCGGCAGAATTTGTTTAACTGTCGTTACCTTTCCATCTTGATTTTGCCCTCATATGATCTTGCTAGATTGGCATGAACTTGACCCATGTTAGCAAGCTCCTCCTCTCCCCAAAGTCTCTTTGAAGATTTTTCAGAAAGAAATGGCCTCTGGACACCCAAAAGTTAAATTATTATTGTCACTCGAGTGTCATAAAAATAATCCAAAGTAAGTGAATGTCAATATCAGGAACTTACAAAAATGATTACTTTTAAAAGTAGTAGAAAATAAAGACATTTGAGAGATGATACATTTTTCACCCAACTGACCACAACAGGTGTGAGCCAAGACCTGCTGGATGTGACCTCCGGGTCCCAGTGGAAGCCCATGTTGTATGCAGTGGCTTTCCTGCACTCCACTGTCCAGGAGAGGCGCAAGTTCGGTGCCCTGGGGTGGAATATCCCCTATGAATTTAACCAGGCGGACTTTAATGCCACTGTGCAGTTCATCCAAAACCACTTGGATGACATGGATGTCAAAAAGGTACTGCTGTGCGTGCTGCCTCGTGCCTCTGGTGGCTGTGGGCTTGGGCCATCAAGCTCACAGGACCTCCTAGCTTTGGGGTAAATTATATAAGAGAATTTGCTGTGCTTGCAAAGTCATCTTGAAGTCATAGCAATTTGGGTCACACTTGCCTCTTGGTTTCAGGAAATATTGGTCAAATTTTGATTATTATTTTATTTCTCAAAGGCAAGTTGACATTCCAAAGACAGCCTCAAGGGGCCTGTTGTCAGAGGGTGTGGGTGGGGAAGCTTGTTCTTCAAAATCCTAAAAAATGAAAATGGGAGTCCAGATTAGTTTGAAGTGTGTGCTTTCTAAAGAACTGCCTCAATAAGCTCAAAAGCAAACACTATTTTCTATTTATATTGAAGTATGAAAACATACGAATGCATCAAGGAAGGCTATTTCAAATCATGGACATGAGCATTGAGTAACTACTCTTCTTTACCTTTTTACTTTTCTTTCTGCACTTTCTCTTTGCAGTACTGAGGAAGAATGCCTGACTAAATGAATGTTGTTGAAAGTGAATACATGGGTGTGACTTGGCAGGGAAATAATAATGCAACGGTAGTCAATTCTACATAATTATTCTATCAATTGTCCCAGGGCGTCTCCTGGACCACCATCCGCTACATGATAGGAGAAATTCAATATGGAGGCAGAGTCACTGACGACTATGATAAGAGATTGTTGAACACATTTGCTAAGGTTTGGTTCAGTGAAAATATGTTTGGACTAGATTTCAATTTTTACCAAGGATACAACATTCCAAGATGCAGCACAGTGGATAACTATCTTCAATATATCCAGGTTTGTCAACTTCAGAATTGTATGCATAGAGCAAGCATCTGTAGCCATTTGAGTTTTGGGTATTAATTATACTCTCTGTGTTGCTTTTACCATAAATTTTAATGGTGATATATACTAATGCTTTTGCTGTGAAGGCTTTCTTTGTATTTTTATACTCAATGGATGATTAAAATGTTTATGTTTGTTCTGAGTGTGTGTTCTGTGTGAATCGTGTTTCCATCTTCCTCTTTTTTAATGCCCTAGGGAGGAATTTTCTTTGAGGAAGATGATAGATTAGGGAGATTTAGAACTAGGAGACCTACACAAATCACCTGGAGTCCTCTGTCTGTGAAACTTCGGCTGCCACAGCAGTAGGGCAAAGGCAGCTTCTCGACCCAATTTGTCTGTTTTCCAATCCATTTGACTAATCCCATGACATCTGCTCCTTAACCCTGGCCTAATGGACAGGCTTAAGGATATGTCCAGGAAGCTGCTTTGTGTAAGAGCTTCCTCCAAGACAGAGTTTCTCAACCTTGGCACTATTGACATTCAGGGTTGGATCATTCTCTGTCATAGGGGGCTGGCCTGTGCTGTTTAGCAGCATCCCTGGCCTCTGTCCACGGGATGCCAATAACAACCCCCTACCCAGTTGCAAGAACCAAAAATGCCTCCTGAAATTGCCAAATGTGCCCTGGGGGGGCAAAATTGTCCCTGGTTGAGAAGCACTGACATAAGAAGGAATAGGTAGATTTCTACAGGCAGTTTGGGAATACGTAGGGAAAAAATTCTGATTTTTAAGGTGACTGCGTCCTCTTTCTCTATACCTAAAATTCATTATATCATTATTTAGTCATCTCTTTGGTCTCTAAGATTTATCTCAGAGTAAACAAACTAAAACATAACAGCCCCAGAGAGCTAAATTTATCAGTATATTTACATGTTTTTTGATATATGAATGTAATGAGTTTATCATATATTACCACCTCTGCACTTTTATTAATTCAAATCAACAAATATATTTGTCTTACTGTACTGCATGTATCTTTAAATCATCAGCACTGAATAGGAAAAGTGGCCATGAAGGTATAAATTTAGGGGTGCCTGTACATATATTTTTTATATAACCCCATCTCACAGTGCATTTGAGGTAGCTCCTAAGAAGACATTATGCAAGAGAGAATAAAATGAGGGAGAGGAAGGGAGGGAAATATGAGTATGACAATAATTAAGTTAAGGATAAGATTCATACATAGAAATATGTGTCAAATTGTCAGTAAATTGTCCCTTTTTTCGAACAGTCGGGGGTCTTTTTGCCTGCTTCTCCTGCTTCTGCCTGTGTCCCACACATCTCTGTCTCTGTTTTTTCTCTCTGACTCTGTTGCTTTCTCAGTTTATCTCTTTTCCTAGTCTCTGTCTTTTTCCTTGGGAGAGTACAAGTCCCACCTGCTGCCTTTATTTGGACCATGATTACTAGAGCTGTCATTTCCTGGTTTCTTCTAAACATAATAACCATTAGCTATACAACATTGATTTGGACAACTGGTTTGAATTCAGTTAGACCATCAGAAAGCAAAACACGAATCCACAACTCCCTTTCTATCTCGCATGTTGTGTAACAAGACAGTCTCTCTCTGATTCAATTTTATTTGAGGTGCAGGTTGTAAAGAGCCGTGAGCCTAGTGTCTGTTCCTCAATGTTAATTGGCTTTTAAAGGAAACTTTTGATTATTTTCTGGGGAAATTATCAAGGTTTGTAACTTGACACCAATAAGACTTAAGTCAATGCATATCCTCATAAAAGCATTTTTGTTTCCCAAGATAGTGAAATTTAGACGGTGCTTATGTTGGCAATCTGTACTTACCTGAGGTGTTTGTTGTTCAGAGTTTGCCTGCCTACGACAGCCCTGAGGTGTTTGGGCTGCACCCCAATGCTGACATCACCTATCAGAGCAAGCTGGCCAAGGGCGTGCTGGACACCATCCTAGGCATCCAACCCAAGGACAGCTCTGGTGGAGGGGTTGAGACCCGGGAAGCGGTGGTGGCCCGGCTGGCTGATGATATGCTGGAGAAGCTGCCCCCAGACTATGTCCCCTTTGAAGTGAGTTGATAAAATTCTAACAAAATGTCAGCTGGGGTTGGATAGCTTTGGTTGGGAGAGTGAGGAAGAAGAAAGGAGGGCAAAAAATAATTTTCCTGAAATTAAAAAACATTCTTTTAAAAACCAGCTTCTTAAAGAACCAGATAAAGAAGTTTTTGCATCCGTGAATGTAATGTAATCTTATATATATAAACCATATATACATATGTAAACCTTATATATATAAACAATATATAAACCATAAGGAAACCTGTTGAGAATGTTAATAGTTATGATTGATTTACAAGTGCGTACTGATGGGTTAGGACTGCTTTTCTGAACCTTCCCTGAGGTACTTTACATTGCATTTGTTCAAAAGAAAGCGAAGTATTATTAAAACGCCTGATTATTAAAAAATACACTTTATGTAGTTTAATGTACACCTTAAAATTCAGGCCTTCTTTATTTCAGAGAGTCTATATTTATATCATTACTTCTGCAGCTTCTTCATCTCACAAGTTTTGGAAATTGGTATTTTTAGTATATAAGCAGTTTCTAAGCAAATTTATGATGATGAAAGTTAATTTTTTGACATCTTTTTAAATTGCATTAATGTTTTTAAATTTTTTTCATGAATTATTGGGGTATAGGTGGTATTTGGGTACATGAGTAAATTCTTTACTGGTGATTTGTGAGATATTGGTGCACCCATCACCTGAGCAATATACAATGCACCATATTTGTAATCTTTCATTCCTTGCCCCCCTCACATTCTTCCCCCCAAGTCCCCAAAGTGCATTATATCATTCTTATGCCTTTGCGTCCTCATAGCTTAGCTCCCACTTATCAGTGAGGACACATGATGTTTGGTTTCCCATTCCTGAGTTACTTCACTTAAGATAATAGTCCTCAATCTCATCCAGATCGCTGCAAATGCTGTTAATTCATTCCTTTTAATGGCTGAGTAGTATTCCATCATATATACACACACACAAACACACACACACATATATATATATGTGGTATACATACATATTGCAATTTCTTTATACATTCATTGATTGATGGGCATTTGGGTTGGTTCCATGGTTTTGCAATTGTGAATTGTGCTGCTATAAACATGCATGTGCAAGTATATTTTTCATAGAAAAACTTACTTTCCTCTGGGTAGATACCCAGTAGTGGGATTGCTGGATCAAATGGTAGTTTTACTTTTTAAAGGAATCTTGACAGTTTTCCATAGTGGCTGTACTAGTTTACATTCTCACCAGTGGCGTAGAAGCATTCCTTGGTCACTGCATCCATGCCAACATCTACTGTTTTTTGATTTTTTGATTATAGCCATTCTTGCAGGAGTAAGGTGTTATCGCAATGTGGTTTTGATTTGCATTTCCCTGATCATTAGTGATGTTGAGCATTTTTTTCATATGTTTGTTGGCCACTTGTATATCTTTCTTTTGAGAATTGTCTGTTCATATCCTTAGCCCACTTTTGGATGTGATTGTTTGTTTTTCTCTTACTGATTTGTTTGAGTTCTTTGTGATTCTGGATATTAGTTCTTTGTCAGATGTATAGATTGTGAAGATTTTTCTCCCACTCTGTGGGTTGTTTGCTCACTGTGCTGACTGTTCCTTTCACCATGCAAAAGCTCTTTAGTTCAATTAGGTCCCAAGTATATATCTTTGTTGTTATTGCATTTGCTTTTGAGTTCTTGGTCATGAAATCCTTGCCTAAGCTAATGTCTAGAAGGGTTTTTCCAATGTTATTGTCTAGAATTTTTATAGTTTCAAGTCTTAGATTTAAGTCCTTAATCCATCTTCAGTTGATTTTTGTATAAGGTGAGAGATGAGGGTCCAGTTTTATTCTTATACATGTGGCTAGCTAATTATTCCATCACCATTTTTAAAAAAGGGTGTCCTTTCCCCACTTTAGGTTTTTGTTTGCTTTGTCAACGTTCAGTTGGCTGTAAGTATTTGGGTTTATTTCTGGCTTCTCTGTTCTATTCAATTGGTCTATGTGCCTGTTTTTACAACAGTACTATGTTGTTTTGGAGACTATGGCCTTATAGTATAGTTTGAAATCAGGTAGTATGATGCCTCCTGATTTGTTGTTTGTGCTTAGTCTTGCTTTGGCCATGCAGGCTCTTGTTTTGGTTCCATATGAATTTTAGAATTTTTGTTTCTCATTCTTTGAAGAATGATGGTGGTGTTTTGATGGGGATTGCATTGAATTTGTAGATTGCTTTTGGCAGCGTGGTCATTTTCACAATATTGATTCTACCCATCCATGAGCACGGGATGGGTTTCCATTTGTTTGTGTTGTCTGTGATTTCTTTCAGCAGTGTTTTGTAGTTTTCCGACTTCTTGGTTAGGTATATTCCTAAGTATTCTATTTTTTTGCAGCTATTGTAAAAGGGGTTATATTCTTGATTTGATTCTCCACTTGGTCACTGTTGGTAGAGAAGAGCTACTGATTTGTGTACATTAATCTTGTATCCAGAAACTTTGTTGAATTCTTTTATCAGTTCCAGGAGCTTTCTGGGGGAGTCTTTAGAGTTTTCAAGGTAAATGATCGTATCGTCAGCAAGCAGTGACAGTTTGACTTCCTCTTTACTGATTTGGATGCCCTTTATTTCTTTCTCTTGACTGATTGCTCTGGCTAGGACTTCCAGTACTATGTTCAAGAGGAGTGGTGAGAGTGGACATCCTTGTCTTGTTCTGGTTCTCAGAGGAAATGCTTTCGACTTTTCCCCATTCAATACTATGTTGGTTGTGGGTTTGTCATAGATGGCTTTTATTACATTGAGGTATGTCCCTTGTATGGTGATTTTTTGAGAGTTTTAATCATAGAGAGATGCTGGATTTCGTTGAATGCTTTTTCTGCATCTATTGGGATGATCATGTGATTTTTGTTTTTAATTCTGCTCATTTATTAACTTGTGTATGTTAAACCATTCCTGCATCCCTGGTATGAAAGCCACTTGATCATGGTGGATTATCTTTTTGATATGTTGTTGGATTCAGTTAGCTGGTATTTTGTTAAGGATTTTGGCATCTATGTTCATCAAGGGTATCAGTCTGTAGTTTTCTTTTTTGGGTATGTCCTTTACTGATTTTGGTATTAGGGTTATGCTAGCTTTGTAGAATGAATTAGGGAGGGTTTCTTCTTTCTCTATCTTGTAGAATAGTGTCAAAAGGATTGGTACCAGTTCTTCTTTGAATATCTAGTAGAATTCTGCTATGAATCCTTCTGGTCTTGGAGTTTTTTATGTTGGTAATTTTTAAATTACCATTTCAATCTCACTACCTGTTATTGGTCTGTTCAGGGTTGTCTAATTCTTCCTGATGAAAGCTAGAAGGGCTGTATTTTTCCAGGAATTTATCCATCTCTTCTGGGTTTTCTGGTTTATGTGTGTAAAGGTGTTCATAGTAGCCTTGAATGATCTCTTGTATTTCAGTGGTGTCAGTTGCAATATTGCCTGTTTTGTTTCTTAGTGAAGTTATTTGGATTTTTTCTCTTCTTTTCTCAGTGAATCTTGCTAATAGTCTATCAATTTTATTTATCTTTTCAAATAACCAGCTTTTTGTTTCATTTACCTTTTGTATTGCTTTGTTTTGTTTCAATTTCATTTAGTTCTGCTCTGATCTTGGTTATTTCCTTTCTTCTGCTGGGTTTGAGTTTGGTTTCTTCTTGTTTCTCTAGTTCCTTGAGGTGTGACATTAGAATGTCAATTTTTATCATATTACCAGAGTTGGTTTTCTGGTTCCTTCTCATTTGGGTAGGCTCTGTCAGAGGGAAGGTCTTAGGCTGAAGGCTGTGGTTCAGATTCTTTTGTCCCACAGGGAGTTCCCTTGATGTAGTAGTCTCCCCCTTTTCTTATGGATGTGGCTTCCTTTGAGCCGAGCTGCAGTGATTGTTGTCTCTCTTCTGGGTCTAGCCACCCAGCAAGGCTCTGGGCCGGTACTAGGGGTTGTCTGCCCAGAGTCTTGTGATGTGAACATTGTCTGTGGGTCTCACAGCTGTGGATAGCGACATTTGTTCTGGTGGAGTTGGCGGTGGAGTGCGATGGACCCTCGTGAGGGTTCTTAGCTTTGGTGGTTTAATGCTCTGTTTTTGTGTTGGTTGACCTCCTGCTGGGAGGTGGTGCTTTCCAGAGAGCATCAGCTGTGGTAGTATGAAGAGAAACCGGCAATGGGCAGGGCCCTAGAACTCCCAAGATTATATGCCCTTTGTCTGCCGCTACCAGGGTGGGCAGGGAAGGACCACGGGTTGGGGGAGCGGGGGCAAGGCTAGGTGTGTCTAAGCTCAGCCTCTCATTGGGCTTGTCCTGCTGTGACTGCTTCAGTTTCTTCAGTGAGGGTGTGTGTTCAGGAGAGGAGGCTCTCCCTTTCCCACTTCTGCAGTTGGGGCACTCACAGTATTTGGGGTGTCTCCTGGGTCCTGCAGGAGCAGTCTACCTCCTTCACAGAGTCTGTGGGTCCTCTTGGGATTGCTGCTTTGTTCTGGCAGTCGATCCGGAGCTAATGTTCACAATGCAAGCCTCTGAACACTGCTCTGTCCATCCGAGTCAGAGCTGCAATCTAGTCTTGCCTCTGTCCCCCAATTGTTTTATTTTTTGACATCTTAATGAGTATTGTGGAAAGAGTTACCCTGATAGTATTTTTTTAAATCTTCAATTATCCTTTGAGTTACAAACAATTCAATTACGTATGCACTCACAAAAATTTTAAAAAATATTTACAAAACAAATAAAATAAAAAAATAAAAATATTTGATTAAACCAAGAGTAAGAGGTAGCTGATTTTCCATAGTTTTAAGAGATGACCTGGACAATCAATTGGTTCTTCTAGCACAGAACCACCCTATTTCTTTGTATTTTTCCCTTTCGTACCTCATTTCAAGAGGAATCCTGTAGCATTTTGTGTCTTCTGTACCCCCACTGTTTTCTACTGAGCAGGCTACTAATTTTGACTGCTAATACTACAGACTGAACTTAAGGACCTTTAGTTAAGGGGATAATGTCCCTGGAATAACCTCTGATCACTTGCTTGGAGAAAAATCAATACTGTTGTCAGCTTTCATAAGCACTCTTCATTATAGGATCAGGAAAGGCGTCATTCATGTCTAACAGGGGTTGAAATATTTAGGAAACGACAAAAATGTCTAAAAATAGAATGATAACTACGTAAATAAACACGGTAAGTAGCAGGAGTTAGAAGAGTCTCCGTCCTTTTGCTGAATTTGTCAGTGCTACCTTAAGTTATAGCAACTGGGCCAAGCACAATATCTGATACATAGAAGACTCTGGATAAATACTTGTAGGATGATAATGAATGGATGTGGGGCAGATGGTTGCTTTGTTGAAAAAAACAGGAAGCTCTTAAAAGAGAATTCTAGTTTCTTGAGAGAGCCAGCAGAATGGCTGTGTGTGTGTACATGTCTGCTTGTGTGTGTCCACATGTGGGTTTGAAAGAGCTCAGATTGGCAGAAAGGGTGTTTCCCAATAAGTGCATTTGCTCTTTAGAAGACTACATGGTTGTGGTCATGCAATTTACATTCTTCTGTGAATTCATGGCTGCCTGCTCCTTCCCACATGGCATGAAAATTCGGGCTGGTCATCTAACAGATACTTTTTTCTGTTTTCTTTTTTCTTTTTGCCATGCAATAAAATAGAAGCTTATTATTTATGGAATAGTAAGAATTTGGACCTGTTCAGAGGCCCCAGGGCACAAGGTCTGTAAAATCCTTAGTAGCTAATTGTTAACATGTGCTTTGAATGTCTCCATGGCAGGTAAAAGAGAGGCTGCAGAAGATGGGGCCATTCCAGCCTATGAACATTTTCCTCAGGCAGGAAATAGACAGGATGCAAAGGGTACTCAGCCTTGTCCGCAGCACCCTCACTGAGCTGAAACTGGCAATTGATGGCACCATCATCATGAGTGAAAATCTGCGAGATGCGTTGGATTGCATGTTTGATGCTAGAATCCCTGCTTGGTGGAAAAAAGTATGTATAAGCCTGCTGTTATTCTGCCTGTTCACCTGTTGTTGTGAAGAGTTGTAATTGGCAAGTGGAAAGCATCGAAGGATAATTTACTCAACATGGTTTTTTTGCATAGGGACAAAGCCCCTTACAACCCTATACTTTTAGACCATAGGTAGGGAAGGAAGTTTTTTTTCAGCAAATCCCACGGATCAGGTTCTCTGCTAGAACATTTTACATGCATTATTTTACTTAAATTTTGTATTTTATTGCTCTTATTTTACAGATGAGAAACTCAAGGTTTGGACAGGTTACGTCTTTTCTCAGATTACACATCTAAGTAGCCAGAGAATCAGAATTTGAACCCAAGCCCCTGGACTCCAAAGCCCATGATGTTGGTTTCATAGAAGAAAACTTGCCCCCTACCCTCACCCTCACATCAAAAGTCACACCAAAAAGAAAAAAAAAAAGTTTCTGCTATATGCTGTTGAAATGGGAGGAGTTCCCTTATCCCCCTCGCAGGGCATGTGACGGGGTGTGGCTCGGTTTTCCGTGCCCTGCTGCTCAAATCCCTAGTGGGAGCATGCAGAGGGGCAGGTCGTGGGGACTGTTTTGGCGCTCCAACCCCATGGCAGTGTCTAGGGTTGAGTGTTTACAGCTCCCGAACGGGCGTATGTTACAGTGCGCTCTTTCAGTTTTGCCATCTGCAGGTGGCTCACGTTAATCAGCTCAATGAGACCCTCTTCCTTGTGGCAAGGACAGAGGGCTTTCTGTATCCTGGGTTCTTGCCCTAGTGTACTGGAAAAATTGGCTCATATGTGGGCTTAGAGGTTGGGTGCAAGGTTTTATTGAGTGGTGGAAGTTGCTCTCAGCAAGGTGGAGGGGGAGCCAGAAGGGGGATGGAGTGGGAAGGTGGTCTTCCCCTGGAGTTGGGCCACCCAGTGACTGCACTCTTCTCTGACCATGCCTGAGCAAATTCCATGTCATCCTGCTGTCAGTGGTGTTTGTTGGCCCTGCCAGTATCTGCTGGTGTCTGTCAGTGTGCTTCTCTGCGCTTCTGCTCCTCTTGACATCCAGCCACTTGTGTGTGTGTCCACTATGGTCTCTTGGGTTTATATGAGCACAGGATGGGGGGCATGGTGGACCAGAGTGGTCTTGGAAAATGCAACATTTGGGCATGAAAACAAGAGTGCCTGTTCTCACTTAGGTCTGTGGGCACAAGCCTGAGGGTGGAACCTTCGCCAGGGACTGTGGCCTTCTCTACCCAGCACTTCTCTGCCCCCCTCCAGTATCACTGTATCTGTAAATATAGTATGTAGTATGTATATATCAAACTCAGCGGATAAGAATTTAACAGCATGCTCACTGGTTACTTGTTAGTAATTGTGCTAAAGACAGATACAGTTTTAAGGAATAATTTTTCACTTGGAAAAGTAAAATGAGTTCCTGAGTGTCTTTGTAAGTAGGAAAATAAGTGTATTTTAGCAGAGGACATTTGAAGGGATGGAGCCTAAATGGTATTCTTCTCTTTGTTCTGTATTTGTGTGTGTGTGTGTGTGTGTGCGTGCGTGCAATGTGTATGCATATGCACACCCATGTTATGGGGAGATGTAAGTGAAGTTGCTAAGATTAATTATGGTGGAAAAATACATAGGAAAAGAGTAGGAGGTGGTGTCCTCTATAACCTATTTCTTGGGAAAATCTGGATCTGCCCCATGGCTTCCTTTCCATCTGACTCCTGCCATAGTCTGGGGGCCTCCACACCCACAGCGTGAACCCAAGTAGGGCTGGCCTGACAGGTCACTCCCAGTGTCGCTGCTCCCTAGATTTTCAATTCTACTCCGCTTCCTCATTCGCTTGCCCTGCCACACCTAAAGGTTGGAAGGAGGGGGAAACTAGGACAGAAATGCAGGCATGGGAAGGTGACAGGATTCACCCCTTTGAGATCTCAAGTTATGAATGTGAATGAAACCAGCCTTCACCGGTGTGCATCGCCTCCAGCTGGCTTCGACTGCCAGGAGTAGGCCTGGGAAGGCGGATGCTTGAGGAGCTTCCGTGTTGTACACCCACCTGGAGAGTGCAGTGGCAGGTGTGCTGGGATTTTTTGGCTGCCATAACAAAGTACCACCGACTGGGTGGCTTGAGCAACAGAAATTTGTTTTCTTTCAATTCTGGAGGTGGCAAGTCCGAAATAGAACTGTTGACCAGCCGTGCTCCCTTCAGAGTGTCTAGGGGAGTATCCTTCTTTGCTTCATTCTACCTTCTGGTGGCCCCAGGAGCTCCTTGGCTTGTGGCAGTCCTAGTCCAATCTCTCTCTTTGTCTTTGTGTGACTTTCTTTGCCCTGAGTACATTCACAACATCTTCCCTCTCTGCGTATCTGTCTCTGTGTCCAAATTTCCCTTTTTCATAAGGACAGCAACATATTGGAGTAGGGTCACCCTTATGCCCTCATTTTCACTTGATTTCCTCTGTAAAGACCCTGTTCCCAGAAAAGATCATGTTGTTAGGTGCTGGGGGTTAGGACTTCAATGTATGGTTTGGGCGGGGACACAATTCAACCCATGGTGGGAGAGGTAGCTAGGTCATGGACGCCATTCTCAACGGGGAGATTATAATGACAGCAGGTGAAGACAAGAGGCGAGGAGATGGGACAAAAACTGTTAAAGACTTATTTTAAAATTTACTTGACAAAAATTATATACATTTATGATGTGCTACATGTTGTTTTGAATGATGTGTATCCTGTAGAATGGCTGAACTGGGCTAATTAACATAGGCATTACCTCACATACTTAATTAACATTTTCTTGTGGTTCAGACCTAAAAGCCACTCTCAGCAATTTTCAAGAATACAGTGCATTGCAGCCGGGTGCGGTGGCTCACACCTGTAATCCCAGCACTTTGGGAGGCCAAGGCGGGCGGATCACGAGGTCAGGAGATTGAGACCATCCTGGCTAACATAGTGAAACCCTGTCTCTATTAAAAAATACAAAAAATTAGCTGGGTGTGGCGGTGTGCACCTGTAGTCCCAGCTACTTGGGAGGCTGAGGCAGGAGAATGGCATGAACCCAGGAGACAGAGCTTGCAGTGAGCCGAGATCATGCCACTGCACTCCAGCCTGGGTGGTAGATTGAGACTGTCTCCAAAAAAAAAAAGAAGAAAAAGAAAAAATACAGTCTATTGCCATAAACTATAGTCACCTTGTTGTAAAATAGATCTTTCGAACGTGCTTCTCCTATCTGACTGAAATTTTATACCCTTTGATCAACAACTTCCTATTCCCTCCCCCATCACCCCACCCTCTAGTCTCTGGTAACCACCATACTACTCTCTATTTTTATGAGTTCAACTCTTTCAGGCTCCACACGTAAGTGAGATGATGCAGTATTTGCCTTTCTGTGCCTGGCTTATTTCACCTAGCCTAATGGAGATGGGACAAAATGTATGGATGAGGTGAAAATCATGGAACCAAAGAATCAGATACCATGCTTAGGTCAAGGACTGTCCTTGAATAAGTGAACTGGAAGTGGAGGTTATGGTTGAAGAATGGAATGTGGAGTGGGGATGGTGCATGTTGGATTTCTTAAGGCAGCTAAATAGCTAGCTCTTTTCTCCGTCTGAATTCCAAAGCAATTAAATGGCAGAAAAGGAGTAGTGTAGATTAGAGAACATTTATTGATAAAGCTAATATTGAACAATGTGGCTTCTATCTGCTGAAACCCCTGAGTTGTGGGGTTTCAAAACCAGAATTCGGAATTAGACAGACTTACCCACCAGCAGCACGACGCTAGACAGTTTCCTCTACAGAGACTTCCCTGTGAAGCTAGAGTGTGCAGGAGCAGAAGAGAGTGTGGGAGCAGAAGAGAGTGTGTGCTCCCTTTCCCTCTGCTACCCCCAGCAATAAAAGCAGAAGCAATAAAAGCAGAAGGGGCTGGCTGGCTGGGCTTCCTAACTGTATCTCCATCTTTCCACTGCTGCTATGGCTTCTCCAACCTCCTGCTGCCCTAGTGCTAAGCCACTGATCATACTTCAGGACCTGCTGTTATAGCTGCACCGTACTTCCTTATGTCCCTCACCAGCTGGGTGCATCCTTGGCTCCACACAGTTACTCTGGGACCCTCATTATGGAGGCCTTGTCATCTGGGAGCTGTACCACCTGGAGCATGTGGCCTCTGAAGTCATCACAGCAGAGGGAAGGGAAATGGACAAGGCACCCCAGGTCTAGACTTTCTGGGTTAGGAAGTGACCCATGCCACTTTCATTCACAGTCTGTGGATCAGAACTAGAGCCTTGGACCTAACCTAACTGCATGTGAGGCTGGGAAGTATAGGGGGCACATGGGACATCTGATGAGCAGAACCCATTTCTGAAACAGCCAGAAACCAGATGAATTTCTTTACCTCCTGGGAGTGGGGAGAATGAGAGGGTCAAGGATCTTGGAGTGTTATCGACAAGGAGCTCTCTCCCCATTGAAGGAAATATAGGAGTGGAAAAAAAACGCACCTCCCAACAGGCTAGTGTTTGGGGATGACAAAATTTAACATGAGAGTACGAGAGCAGAGGAATAAAATGGAATGGACATCAGGGTCATTAGAGAGCAGAGGGTCATGAGATAAGATAGTAGGATGTTAAATGCATCATTGACATGGGTGGCTGAAGTCACCTAGAATGATTAATCAAGTAAATAAAGGCAGTATATGGGTTTTGAGTATGCACTTACTTGGCCAGAATACCCAGGTTCAAATCATGTCTCTTATGGGCTATGTAACTTGGGGTATGCTAGTTGCCTTGTTGTGCCTCAGTTTCCTTAACTGTAAAAGGGAAATAATAGCATTATATAATTCCTAGCATTATTGTGAGAATTAAATGAGTTGATATGTGTGAAGTGCTTAGAACAGCGCCTGGCATGTGGCCAGTGCTATGTAAGTGCCTGTGATTATTAATAGCAAAACCGCACCACCACCACCACCATCACCACCACAACCACCATCACCACTATGACCATCACCACCACTGTTACCACCAATTACTGCCTCTGCCATCACCACCACCACCCCCACCTCCACCACCAACACAATCATCATCATCATCCTCATGATTATTTGGGGGATTGAGTAGAAGAGTAAACCAGGAGCTAAATTCCTTCATGAATAAGAGGAAGTGACCAGTAGGTGATAGAAGCAAGTAGGGGTAAGGATAGTATGTCTGGATGGCATGAAACTCAAAAGAAGAGAATGATGTAGCATGATGACCTGGCAACAACAGTCAGAAACGACAAGGTCGTCTCCTCTTCCTCTGGTCCTGAGGGTTGTTGAGTGTGAGGAAAGCAGTAGCCTACATTTGGAGAAGGCTGTGAAGGAAGCAGTCTGTCCCAGGTTGAAGGTGTGGGGTGGGGGGCAGACTTCAGTTAAGAGAAGGGATGGAGAGGATGTTCCAGAATGAGGTGGAGGATCTAGAAGAGTTTTCTGATCATGGCATTGAAGATGCTGAAGGTAGAGTGGAAAGGCTTGGGAGGGGGGCTTGCCTCTTGTTATTGCCAAGGACGGAGGGGGATTGCGTCAGGTTGGGGCTGCACAGAGAGGGCAGCATACAGACATGAGGTTGGTGGGTGGGGGGATAGAGCGTTGGCCTCTGTAGGTTACTTGGCCACATGGGAGGGCGGTAGGACTTGTTTAGTGCCGAGCCTCAGGTGTGTCATCTAGAGCTTCAGCAGATTATGAGGTAGTGAGTTCTGCAGGCAGCATATAGTGAGTAGGACTGCTGCTTGTTGTCTTCTGCATGTTATTTGATGACACCACCCCCCATCCCTCTCATCACATAGCTTAGAGACTCGGAATCAGCTTTGACCAGACCCGTTTATTTCCTTCTCATCTTTAATAAATCCATTGCCCATACCAGAGAGTTTTCTATCTGAATTGCCTCTTCTCATTGCCAAGGACTGAGGGAGACTCTTCCAGATCACTGGCCATTATGAGTTCCTTCCCTACCAAACCAGATCATCCACCTCGGTAGGACCTGGGAGGCCCTGGAACAGGAATCCCTGTCAGGGGGCACTCTCGTTAGCAGCTCCCTCTGCCCTCAGACCAAACGTAGTATAAAATACACATCTCTTTTAGTTAACAGACCTATAATGATAGCAGACAATGAGTGATTTAATTCTTAAATTATGATCTTTTTGTTCAGGTTTTTATTCTTCTCAGCTTATTATCAGACTTTGGAATCTCAATAACTCTTGAAAATAGGCAAATTAATTCTTAAGGTGTTTGAAATTCAAGTGTTATACCCAGGTTGATTACTACATTTATTCGTACATAAAATATTGCAATTACAGTAAAATGTTATAATCTGTGATTTGAAGATACCGTCCACTGCTGCTGCTCATGGCATTAATGACATATCCATGCCAGTTGTCGTAATGGAAGCCCCACAGGTGAATTCAGGGAGAAAGTCAGAAGCAATAAATGCAAATAATTTGTGGATGACAAAGAGTCTTGGGTTTCCATTTTTTGCTCCTTCAAGAGAGGAAACAAAAATGTATTCTAAAGTGACAAACATTCTGGGAAAGGACTGTTGTTCACCCCATTACAATTAAGTGTAGCAAGTCTTCTACATCTTATTATCCATGGGATCTATTTTACAGTGTTGATTTATCTTGATAAGGCCATGAGCATATTTATGTAAATAAAAATCCTTTTTTATGTGTTATAGATTGAAATTGTAACCTAAGGAAAAATGATGAAAGCCTTGAAATTTAATCCAATAAATTGTTTTGATTCCTTTACAGCAGAATCAGTGATGAATATATTGGTACATGGAAAGTGATTCGATTGACATTAGATATCTTGAACAGTTCTGTGAATTGATCTGATGTTCATGTGATGACTAGTATATTCTGTCATATCTTAGTAGCATTACTATTATTAAGGAGAAAGAATAATTTGAAACACTTATGCCAGAATCCAGGGAAAATTCATGACTTAGAGACTTTTTTCATTATAAAAGTGAAATTGATATTTCATCATTTTTTTTTAGTGAACATAGCTAGTTTACACTGCAGTGTTAAACTTATATCAATTAATTGTTTAAATGTCTTCACTGCAGGTTTCTTGGGTTTCAAGTACGCTGGGTTTCTGGTTTACTGAACTTATAGAAAGAAATGGCCAGTTTACCTCGTGGGTTTTCAATGGCCGACCTCACTGCTTTTGGATGACAGGCTTTTTTAACCCCCAGGGATTTTTAACGGCAATGCGACAGGTAAGAGCTCTGATTTGCACCCATTGTGTTATTATAATTTTCCTCCACAGGGTTTTCTTTCATTATAGTTTTTTTTTTTTTTCATTATAGTTTTAAAGACTATAATAAGACAGAGAATGACTGTCTCTTTTTGGTACTAGCAGTTACATTGTCATGAACATAAATCCCAGCCACTTGTTCTCAGGCTGCTAGCTCGACTTTCAAAATATTTATTTCTTATTTTTGTATTTGATTTGACTTTGTATTTCTTTTTAAAGTAGACATAGCTAAATTAGGATGTGGGTTTTTTTTTTATGAGAGAATCTTGCTAATTCTTTAGGCACTATTGTACTTCCTTCGAATTAGAGTGATTTGGAGCCAAGCTTTCATTATTGTTATGCTCTTTCTATTAAGACAAACCTGTAACTGCTCCATTCATCTTTTGCTGCCCTGAATAGGAAATAACTCGGGCCAACAAAGGCTGGGCTCTGGACAATATGGTGCTTTGCAATGAAGTCACCAAATGGATGAAGGATGACATTTCTGCCCCTCCCACAGAGGGCGTCTATGTCTATGGCCTATATCTTGAAGGTGCTGGCTGGGACAAGAGGAACATGAAACTCATTGAATCAAAGCCAAAAGTGCTCTTTGAGTTGATGCCTGTCATAAGGATTTATGCAGAAAACAATAGTAAGTTGTCTTGTACCTTCAGTAAGTGTTCACGTTGTTCGTTTGGATGACATTATCAACACGGGAGTTCATTATTTTTGTCATCATGTAGTAGAGATTTTACTCTCTTATCAACCAGCTTTACATTCACACCAATGTTTAATGGGGACTTACTGACCTCTAGGCACTTTCTTGAGTATATTGAGGAGGCAATAGTTCTAGATAGTACTTGCTTATCTAATAAAGCAGATTAATATGTGTGGATACTCAGGAAATATTAGCTGATGAGATAAGAAAGAAATGTTTGGCATGGTTAATAAGCATGGGGAAGGAGAGTGAGATAACACGGGATGAAGTGGGCGGCGGCTGAGTCTCAGGAGCATTTGGGCCTGGACTGAGCTTTGAAGAATGGATACAATGTGGTGGGGTGAGCTGTGGTAAGGAGGCTTTCTAGATGAGATTGCACAGGGCTCAGTTGGAGGCTGTGGCTCTACCAACCTGGAGGTTTGAACCAGGTAGTGAAATCTAGATTGAATTCAGAGGCATTTGGCTTAATCCTATAGCTAATGGTAAAATACTGAGTTCTTATTTCTGTCTTTGAATGTAATAACACTTCTGTGAAGTACACACGTGATTCTACTTTAACAAAATTATCAAAGCTGTACTTGACAAGTCTAAAAATGCCTAAACTATTTTCCGTTGTTGGATTGATGTTTTCTGGAGGCTCTTTTTTTGGTCACCTTTCACTCAGCTGACATCTCTACAGCGATACCACATTTCAGCATATGAGGGAATTCCCTGTTCATTTTAGAAGCATAAACCATAAACTCTAGCCATGGTAGTGGATTCCAAGGAAGTACTGATTTTACGATAGAAGCACAAGAGATTCTAACAAGTAAAGGGATAAAATAATTAATGAACTATAAGTGTTTGTTTGTTTATTTATTTATTTGAGACAGAGTCTCGCTCTGTCACCCAGGCTGGAGTGCAGTGACACGATCTCAGATCACTGCAACCTCCAACTCCTGAGTTCAAGCGATTCTCCAGCCTCAGCCTCCTCAGCGCCCAGCCCCAAGTATTTGTTTTTTAAGGAAACATTTGGTGGATGTCTAATAGTTACCAGTCATAACCTTAGGCGCTAGGGATGCAAAGATCATTATGAACCAGATCCAGCCCCCAGAGACTCACAGTCTGGTGAAGGAGACCCATAGTAAGTAAATAATGAAAATACAAATTGATACATGTTACAAAAGAGATGCTCAGAAAGAAAACATAGAGATGTCTAGGAGTTTAGGGGTGATTGCTTTTGAGATGTGCTTTGGAGGAGAAGAATGATAGTTATGGGGAGTTAGACTTTTCGTGGTGGAGGGAAATAGCATTAGCTAGCTTGGTCATTCAATGACTACTTACCATCTGCCAAGCACTTCCCTAGTGCTGGGATGGCAGCACTGAGAAAAGACCAAACAAGCTTCCCATTCTTGTGGAGCTGAGTCGCAAACAGGGGTGATAGCCATAAAAGAAAGAAATATAGTCGGGCCTTGTTACTCACAGATTTGTATTTGTGAATTTGCCCACCTGCTAAAATTTCTCTGTAGCCCCCGAATCAACACTAATGACACTTTTGTGGTCATTCGCATGGTCATTCACAAACATGTGCAAAGCAGCAAACAGTTGGAGTTGCCAGACATACATATTCCTAGCTGGGGCCAAACAAGGTGAGGCTGGGCCTTCTTGTTCCAGCTTTCATATTACAACTAAGTGTCCTGTTTGTGGTCTCTTTAGTACCATGTTTTTCAATTTTTTTTTTTTTGGTACATTTTCCTATTTAAAATGGCCCCCAAGTGTAGTATTAAGTCTGCTGTTTCTGAGCACAAGAAGACTGTGCCTTATAAAGAAAATACATGTGTTGGACAAACTTCCTTCAGGCATTAGTCATAGTGCTGTTGGCCTCCAGTGCAATCATAATAAATCAACAATATATATTAACAAGATATCCTTAAACAGAAACACACATAAAACAAGATTATGTATTGACTGCTTGATGGAAATGTTGTGACCAGAGGCTTGCGGGAAACTAACCCTGTGTTTCCCCTAGGAGCAATGGCTTGGCATTTGTTAATTCAATATTCATGGTGACTTCATAGGACATAACTACTGTGAATAATGAGAGTTGACTAGAAATGAACATACTGATTTCAGATACTTCTTGTTTCTCTGCAAAAAAACACATGCATGGTGTCTTAGTCCATTTTCTGTTGCTATAACAAAATACTACAGACTGGGCATGTGATAGACAATAGAAGTTTATTTTGCTCCTGGTTCTGGAGGCAGGGAAGTCCAAAGGCATGATGCCAGCATCTGGTGAGAGTCATTCCATGGTCACAAACAGAAAGTAGAAGTAAGCATGTGAGACAGAGAGGGGCACCAGGGGCTGGACTTGGTTTATAGCAACCCACTCTTGCAATAACTATCTCACTGGCATGATAATGACATTAATTCATTCATAAGGGATTCACCATTTTGACCCAGTCACCATTTATCAGACTCTACCTCCAAATATTATTGTACCAGTGATTAAGTTTTCAACACATGAAATTCTAGGGGACAAATTCAAGCCATACACATGGTTTGAGTGTAAGATAATTTAGGAGTTCTGTTAGGAATACTGAGCTGAGATCCAAGTGACAGAAAGGGGCTATGCTAGCATCCTGGAGCAGAGGGAAGAGTGGAAAGTCATGAGGTGGTAATGGATGTGCTGGGTTTGGTGAAGAGTTTAGTTCTGGGATTTAGAAGACAGACCTGGTCCAGGTTAGCTGGATGTCAGCAGTGTGTAGGTGGATAACAAAGCTTCCACATGAAAGAGGTTCTTCAGGTAGAGGTGGAAATGGGGGAGTCGGAAGAGACAACTGATATTTATGGAGAATGTTTAAAGGTGGATTTCACACCATGTCTCATTTAGTATTTTCAAAAGTTTGCTAGAGAAATGATTTTTGCTTTGAGAACAACAAGCTAGAGAGGTTGTGATTTGTTGAAGGGAATAAGGATTACCTTGGGAGGGGACCAGTGTTATGAAGGAAGAAGAGCCTGTGAAGGGGAGAGTTGAGCATCAGATTAGGAACACAAAGGTTCTCAGCACACTGCTTGGCACATGGTGTAGTTCAATATTTATTAGTTGAATCAAAAAAGATAAATGTGTCTACGTGGGCTTAGGCAAGCATACTGCCTATGGCTTTGTATTTACTGGTTCTTAGGGTGGTGTGAGATCTTGGGACGGTAATTATTTTATAGAAATAATAATCAAGTGTTCCTTTAGCCAAAAATAGTATTTTAGAAAAATTGCTTTATCATATCATTGCATCTAGTCAACATGTTGTAAAAACGTTTCCGTTATAAAATGAAATGAAAACCTTTTTCCAGTTGAGTTACATGTTACTGTTTTTTCTTGTGACTAAACTATAAAAATCCATGGCAATTTGACACTGAACATCTCAGCATGGTAGTAATAAAGTAATAATTTTATAATACTGGCAATTCTTTATGATTTAAGAACAGATTTTTATAGAAGAACTATGTCCACCCTGCTGTGTGTTAGCCAGTGGTGATGCTCATTAGCAGCAGGTAAGGGAGAAAATAAAATAAGCAAAGGAAAAGGGGCTAATTTCAAAGTATTAAAAGAAAACTTTAGTTCTTTATTCCTTTGTTGATTTCAGTAAGAGCTGGTGGAAACTCGGTTTGTTGTTAAAATCGCTTTGTTGTTGAAGAGGTGTTTCTTTAGTAATGGAAAACTAACATTCTGTTACCCTTTTCATGTGATACATTTAATTTTTACTCAATTTTGATAATTGAGCAGGGCTCTGATTGACTTAAAGCGGTGTGTAGCATCATTAAAGACCAAAGTGCAGCATTTGAAAATTGGAATTCTTATAGTTAACAGTTTTTACATTAATATGAAGGAAATTTCTCAATTTAAATAATCATTAAAATATAGATATAGGACTGGTTTATTTGTTTTCTACAAGAAGAAATCTAGATATTTATTTTAACTCTAAAAATTGAGTGATACACCCTCAAACTTTAAAAAGAAATGATGTTTCTTGCTAGAAAATCACAGAAAAGTCATTCAAATAGTACTCAATTCACCAAGAGAGTAAAGCCACACGCACACCGTCTAGATTCTCTGTTCTCAAAGGAAGCTGGAAAGGACAGATAGAAGAAAGATATGTGTCTTCACAGATTTATTATATGAGCAGATTGATGATTCTCAGCGAACTTCAGAACTGTAGCTGATGTGCTGGAAAACTGTGATTGGAACATTTGTGAGGGACGAGGCAAGCCTTCTGTGTACCTCTGATCACCAAGCAGGTGCAAGAGGGGTCTCAAGGGTTATTTCCTGCTAAGGAAAACATGTATCTAAGAATGCCGTCTGACCCATTTTGATGTGAGACTGTGCAGATTTGGGACTGGGGTGGGGGTAGCCATATGTGGTGACCAGGAGTAGAGACCTCCTGGTTCCTAAGCCCACAGGGTTTAATCGGCTGTCAGCTTGTAAACCTGGAAGTCTGTTAAAGTCATGGGAAACATGAGTCTGGGAAGTTGCTTTAGTGAAAAGGTCCATGCGTAAGTAGATGCATGTGTGTGTATGTGCGTGTGCCTGTGTGTGTATGTGCGTGTGCCTATGTATGTGTGTGTGGAGACAGAGAGATAAAGAAGTGTCAAATAACATCTCTATCTTAGGCACCTTCCACATTCCAGGCATTATACTATACCAGGCACATACATGTGTTAACTTATTTAATCTTTACAACAACTCTGTCAAATTTATCGTCCTCATTTCGCAGATGGAGAAATTAAGGTTTGGAGACCCTGGGTAATTTGCCCGTGATTCCTGGCTACTGACAGTGAAAGCTGGTATCAGAATCACATTTGTTTGTCGTGAGGTATATGCAAACCTCTGGGAATTCCCATGGTTAGTCTTCTACTTGAGATTCTGTGTTTATGTGTCCTCTCAGCGCCTGGGACAAAACTTGAAAATAAAGGCTAAATTCAAAATGAGGACAGCTCCATTGAATATGGAAGTCCTGAATTAATTTTTCTCAGGTACCTGTTAAGGTAGACTGTAGGCAGTGGGAGGGCACAGGGAGAGCCCTCTGTGGGTGGTGCTCTCCCTCCCCATACCTCCCTCCGTCATGCTGCAATCTGAAAAGTGCTTATGCCCCTGTTCACCGGTAGAGGACCATGAGCCAGGGGCCGGGATATTCGAGTGGTTCTCCTGGCTTTTATCATCCTAGTCATTAGTCATGTGGCTTTGGAGGCCTATCTAAAATATGCCGCAGATTGAACTCAGGTATCTAGTTCTGTCCATTTCATTTTCATGTTTTCTGCAAAGACAGAGGTATACATGCATAGCGCATCCCAAGTATTGCAGAGATGAAGTGGAGAGGCCACGGATCCATTCTGACTAGGTTTCATTCTCAGTTAACACTACAGCTTTCTAATCTTGGACAACTCGCCTTCCTTCTGTTCCAGTTTTTGAATCCGCAAAGTGATTAAATAGTAGTACCCGTCACACAGGATTGCTGAGAGAATTACACTCACAATGTTATTAGGAAAAATATGTATTAAATACTTCCTATGTACTGACAATGTACTGACAGTGAACATAGGATGCATTTAATACATATTTTTTCAATTGTTACTCTTATTAACATGCTTAACTCAAATGCTTTTTAAAGGAGTGAAAGAAATACTGTATATTAAGAGTGAACTGTCCAGTGATTTAAATGTTACTAGCAAAAGGGTGGTTAAATAAAAGAATGACTTAACGATTCTATAGAGACTCTCTATATAATGGTTATTTTGGATGTTGGAAGCAATATATGGATGCATACTCACATGTAGATGAAAAATGCAAGATAGATAGGGAAGTTAAACAGTCAGAAAATGAAATTCCCCCAAGGTGTTTTATTAAAACCTTTAAGATCCTAAAGGGTATAGCTTGCCAGTTTGCACAACCTCTCCTCTCTCCTCCTCCTTCTGGAGACCCAAGGTTTTAAACATATTTAGTTGATTTGTTCTACCTACCCCGCAAGCTTATTTTTGTCTTCGAAGTTGTTTGTCTAAGCAGGGGGATGGTTTCGAATCATCTGCTTATGTAGTTGTTTAGCATCTGTCAGCGTTTTCACTATGAAATTATATCTTCAGTGGCTTCTAATCCTGCCGCAGAAGTTTGCTGCATGCTGTGACTTGGCATGAGCACCTTCAGCTCTGAAGCAATTAAAAATAAATAGAATTGGATAAATATTTCAGAAAATTATTTTTACCTGCTTATTGAAGAGAATGCTATTTTTTTCCTCCATTTTTCTTTTGGGATTAAAAATCCAAATAGTCAAATGATTCTCAAGTTGTAATTATTGTAATTATCATGAGATTCAGATGTAAGGCACCAAAACCTTACTTCAAGTTTATAAAATGATTGTTAATCAAATTTGCAGCAAGAAGAAGAATGAGTTATATATTTGTTACATGTTTAAAGATCCTAGGATTAAAGGATTTAACTATATCAGTGAGTATAGTTAGTGTTAACCGCATTGCATGATTCGTTGTCATTCATTTACTTGTTCAGAATTTTTCATATACATTTGCCTAATTATTATTACTAGTGATATATGCATAGAAATTGGAAAAATTACACTAAGATTTTAAAATTAGGTATCACATTGTTTTAGGTTGTTTCTAATGATTAATTTCATAAGATTAAGGAAACACAGAGTTTTAAAATACTGTAAAATATCTTTGTTGTTTTAGAAGAAGGTTTCTCAGTCTTGGTACTCTTGACATTTTTGGTCTGGATTACCTTTGTTTGGGGCCGGGGGGCTGTCCTGTGCATTATAGGATGTTAGCAGCATTCCTGACCTCTATTCACGAAGATGTTAGTAGCAAGCCCACAGTTGTGTTAACCAAAAATGTCTTCAGATATTGGCAAATGTCCCCCTAGGTAGAATCATCCCTGGTTAAGAATCACTGCCTTAGAATTATTTATTTTATACTGAAACTTATGTATCATATTATTATATTCAAATGTTTCACTTCTTCTAATACAATTGATTAAATTTATAGTGGATATGTGAAAACACAGGGCACAGCAGGTTAAAAGGTCTATTGGATCAAATAATGAGACTTTAGCTTCTGATAGTGCCTTGCTTTTATAATTTTCTGGAAAAGGCAAATTTTTGAGCATGTCAGTTTTGAGAAATAAATTCAATAACTCTGATATGTTTCAGTGCCCATGTTTGTAACATTAATTCACAAAAGCAGAGCATCCTCTTAGTTAAATGTCATTTCACTTCAATAGTTAAGTGAGGGTTTTTAAAAAATATAATATTGACTTTCCAGAAGAGTACAGGGATGGGTGTAGACACACTCTTGTCCTCGAAAAATGTATAATCTGGAAGAGACTATAAAATAATACACTACTTCCTGAGACGCATGTTAGGAGGTGTGCAGGTAAACTACTGTGGACAGAGTGGCTCTCATAAGACACTAATGAGGCTTAAACTCCCAGGCTGCTCACAGGCAGAAGCTCCTTCCAAAGCCTACTTTTTTGTTTGTAAATTTCACTCATTTTTTTTTAAAGAGGGCCCTCATGAATTGTGTGAGTTTAATTCCCCACAGACCTGGGCCTGTCTCTGAGTATGGGGTTTCCAAGGCCGGAAAGAAAGGGAGCCTGTGGGTGGAGATGGATGTGTTAGAAAGGATCTCTGAAGGATGGACACACATAGATTGCCTTTCATTGCAGTGTCATTTTGGAAACTGCATCTATTCTTCTACTCCGGAAAGGTAGATTGAGTCTCAGAGAGGTGAATTGGTCCATTACTCTCTGCTTCCCAGCAATTTTATTTCTCTACATTTATAGAGAATTCACAATACCTGATTTAGCTGGGGGGTGGGGGAGCACCCGCTGTCCTGGGATTTAAGATGTGATGTAAACTATGGCCTGCAGGGTTGAAGATTTTGAAATAATAAAGTAATGCCCACTGGTGCTGGATACCTGATTAAAACTGACGTGTGCGCGCTCAAGGTTTGTTGGGGAGATGAAGGAGAACAGGTGGAGGGGGATGTTGAGTTGACAGGTGCCAAGGAGAGAGAGGAAGCATGTGGGCTGACTTACTGTCCATGGTTCGGGGCAGGGGGCCAGCAGAGGCCACCAGACGCTGTCTGGGTGTCTTGCCACAGCTACTGGCACCCTGTGGGAGCGTCTGCGTCACATCCAGGAATTGCCTGGCCTCAGAAAGAATGTCCCTCATTCTGCCAAACCCATCTGTCTTTGAAATGACCTACAGAATGCAGAAGCGTGGCTCTGCACTCTCCTTGGGCACTTAAGTGGGAAATTCACCAAGTTCTTTTCTTTTATGATTTTTTTGTAGCTTTACGAGATCCTCGGTTTTACTCCTGTCCCATCTATAAGAAGCCAGTTCGAACGGACTTTAACTACATTGCCGCTGTGGACCTCAGGACGGCCCAGACCCCTGAACACTGGGTGCTCCGTGGGGTTGCCCTTCTCTGTGATGTCAAGTAACATGTCGGGAGTGTTCCCGCCCAATGCTTTGGAAAATGCAAGATCTAAATTATTGTAACCTTTGTTTCTGTATGACTGCTGGACAGTGTATGTCAGGTCGTTTATGCAATTAATGAGCTGCATAGGTTTTCCCCACTCCTTAATTGGGTGCTTATATTTTACCTGTTTCATCATTAGTGACCAATGTCTGAGTTTGTTGAAAATACTATTTAGTGATAAAGTGTGGCCCTCAAATCCACAGTAGTGCATTTTCTTCTTACTTTGCTGTGAAGACCAACTAGGGTAAGCACACAGCATTTCTCTGGAAGGAATTACTATTCTTCTGTTAATATGGCCTGGTAACAGCCAAGTTCTTGAAGGTAACAGGGCAAGTTTGTGCTGATTTTGCTTCTATTGCCTTTCGTATTTAGGTCAAGTTAAGAGACTTATTTTCAGGGTTTCAAGCAGCCAATTAAAAATATCTTTTAAAAAATAGAAGGAGATGGAAGAATGGGTTAAGAATGTAAATAGACAATTTAAGCATAAAGAATAAATGTAGAGCAATGTTTAAGCCTACTTGTAATTAATAATGAGATACTAATTGATAACTCTTATAATAAAAATTAAAGCTAAAAGTAAATCATAGCATGCTCTCGGTAAATATCCACTCACAAATTGCTACAGCACTGTAAATCAACCCAACCTTTTTTGTAAAATGATTAAATACAGTAAGAACCATAAAAATATTCACACACTTGGATCTTTATTTTCTCTGTATCCAGGAAACAATTGAAAAGACTGAAAATAGTCTCTATAAAATTACGTTTAATAACAAAAAAATGGAAATGTCATAAATATTCAATAATCAGGCTATGCTTAAGGAAATTAGGAGATATTAGGCAACCATAAAAAATAATTTTGAAGATTCCATAATATGAAAATGGTAGACTCAGACCGTTAAGTGAAAGATTTAGTTCACAAAATATTGAGTACACTGTGATTATAACAGTGAAATATATTTGCATATGGACAAAGATTAGATGGCAAGATAGAAAAACAAGAACAGATGTGATAGCAAGAGTTATAGTTGGCTTGAAAAAAATGTGATCATTAGGAGAAAATATAAAGAAAGGATAGAAATCTTAGACAGTGTGTAGGGATGTCCTATGGGCTTTTATTAATTAGGAAACATTATCAAATGATCTTTTCACATATATATTTTTTTAAATTCTGGTTACAGGTTATTAATAACTCTTCATCTAACCCATTGAGTAGAAAATTTAGTCAGTATTAAATTAGAATTGTGGTTTACAAACTTTTGGTTAGCTCTGGATCTGTATTACTGCATTTGTTTTGATAAATGGTTTTTGGGAGGTGGATACTAGGAGACAAGTGTGGGCCCCTCTCGCTGGGCTTCATTCTATGGACCAGGATCATTATTTTATGCTCATGACGATGAGAGTTAAGCCTGAGTGGCTCCTGTGACTCCCGCCATCGTAGATGATACTGTTTTCATGTGAGTTCTTTCTTTTGGTGTGGATTAATGTATCAGTTAATTTGTGTGAATTGTGGTGAAACAATCATTTCATTCTGAAAAGCAAGTAATGAAAATGTGGACATCATGGAGTTAATAAAATGTTTTTACTAAATGCCTCATTCATAATTGTCGTTTATCAGAAAGGGGGGTAATTGACACTAAGTATCTAGAAATAAGCTTTCAAAACTGGATTTTTTATCAAATAATTTGAAAATGTGTCATTCCTATGATTTTGTGATACACATCTGTTAGTTTGCATGCATGAGTCTTGGAGACCCAAAGTAGAAAAAGACCATGAAAACAACTAAGAATTTTTACAAACTAATTCAACATGGTTGGCCTCTGAAGCAGTGATGAATCAATGAGGCCTCTTTCTGCATAGCTGCCCACTCCTTCCCGGGCTCCTCCCACCAAAAGGTGCTAGGTATTCCACAGTCAGGTAGGCAAGGGAGAACTGATTGAATGAATCTCTCCTGCAATGGAGAGGCTTCCTGATGTTCTTGGACATGGAGAAATAACCGCCAGGGGCTTGGTACCATTGCAGAGTCATGCAACAGTTTTTTTCAACTGTACCAATATTGATTTACTAAAAAATATTGATTTTGCACCTCCTGTGAAGACTCTCTGCTGAACTGGTGATGCAATGGTGAAAAAAAAAAAACAGGCACAGTGCCTAATCTCATAGAGTGCACCTGAGAGGAATAAATGCAGAATATAGCAATTATTCAGGTACATATGTAGTTGTATTAGTCCGTTTTCACACTGTTATAAATAACTACTTGAGACTGGTTAATTTATAAACAGAAGAGGTTTAAAATTGACTCACAGTTCCATATAGCTGGGGAGGCCTCAGGAAACTTATAATCATGGTGGAAGATGAAGAGGAACCATGCGCATCTTCACAATGGTGGAGCAGGAGAGAGAGAAGATGAAGGGAACAGTCACACACTTTTAAACCTTCACATCTTGTGGGAACTCACTATCATGAGAACCGCACATGGGAAACTGCCCCCACGATTCAATAACCTCCCACCAGGTTCCTCCCCTGACATGTGGGGATTACAATTCAAGAAGAGATTTGGGTGGGAACACAGCCAAACCATATTGTTCCATCCCAGCCCCTCCCAAATCTCAAGTCCTTCTTACATTTTAAAACACAATCATGGCTTCCCAACAGTCCCCAAAAGTCTTAACTCATTCCAGCATTAACCCAAAAGTCCAAGTCCAAAGTCTCATCTGAGACAAGATAAGTCCCTTCCACCTATCAGCCTGTAAAATCAAAAGCACCAAATGGGAAAATTGACCAAAACAAAGGGTCTACAGGCCCCATGCAAGTCTAAAACCCAAGACAGTAATCATTAAACCTTAAAGTTTCAAAATGATCTCCTTTGGCTCCATGTCTCACATCAGGGCACTTTGATGCAAGAAGTGGCCTCCCAAGGTCTTGGGCAGCTCTGCCTCTGAGGCTCCATAGGGTACAGCCCCTGTGGCTGCTTTCAAGGGCTGGCATTGATTGCCTGCAGCTTTTCCAGGTGCACAGTGCAAGCTGTCAGTGGATCTACCATTCTGGGTAGATCCATTCTGGGGGCCACAGGATGGTGGCGCATTTCTCATGGCTCCACTAGGCAGTGGTCCAGAGGGGACTCTGTGTGGGGGCTCTAACTCCATATTTCCCCTCTGCACTGCCTTATTAGAGGTTCTCCATGAGGACTCTGCTACTGCAGCAGACTTCTGCCTGGACATCCAGGTATTTCCATACATCCTTGAAATCTAGGTGGAGGTTCTGAAAACTCAAGTCTTGTTTTCTGCATACCTGTAGGCCCAACACCATGTGAAATCTGCCAAGGCTTGGGGCTTGTATCCTGTGAAGCTATGTCCCAAGCTGTACCTTGGCCCCTTTTAGCCATGGCTAGAGCTGGAGCAACTGGAATGCAAGGTGTCACATCCTAAGGCTGCACAGAACAGTGGGGCCCTGGGCCCAGCCCATGAAACAGTTTTTCCCTCCTAGGCCTCTGGACCTGTGATGAGAGGGGCTACCATGAAGATCTATGAAATGCCCTAGGGACATTTTCCCCATTGCCTTGGCTATTAATATTTGGCATCTCTTATGCAAGTTTCTGCAGGCAGCTTGAATTTCTCCCCAGAAAATAGATTTTTTTCTTCTACCACTTGGTCAGGCTGCAAATGTTCAAACTTTTATGCTCTGCTTCCTCTTTAAACATAAGTTTTAATTTCAAACCATATCTTTGTGAATGCATATGGCCATTTGCTGTTAAGAGCACCCGGGTCACTTCTTAAATGCTTTGTTGCTTAGAAATTTCTTCTGCCAGATACCCTAAATCATCTCTTTCAAGTTCAAAGTTCCACAGATCTCTAGGACAGGGGCAAAATGCTGTTAGTCTGTTTGCTAAAGCATATCAAGAGTGACCTTTGCTCCAGTTCCCAATAAGTTCATCTCCATCTGAGAGCATGTCAACCTGGACTTCATTGTCCCTATCAGCATCAGCATTTTGGTCAAAACCATTCAACACGTTTCTAGGAAGTTCCAAAGTTTCCCACCTCTTCCTGTCTTCTTCTGAGTCCTCCAAATTTATCCAACCTCTGCCCATTACCCAGTTCCAAAGTTGCTTCCACATGTTCAGGTATCTTTATAGCAGTGCCCCAAACTCCCAGTACCAATTTTCTTTATTAGTTCATTTCAACACTATAATGAACTACCTGAGACTGGGTAATTCATAAGGAAAAGAGGTTTATTTGACTCACAGTTTCACAAGGCTGAGGAGGCCTCAGGAAACTTACAATCATGGTGGAAGGCCGAGGGGAAGCAAGGGACATCTTACATGGTGGAAGGGATGGGAGCTGTCACACTTTTAAACCATCATATCTCGTGAGAACTCACTATCATGTGAACAGCATGGGGGAAATGGTCCCCATGATTCAATCACCTCCCCCCAGATCTCTCCCTTGACACATGGAGATTACAATTCAAGATGAGATTCAGGTGGGGACACAGAGCCCAAACTATATCAGTAGTTATATATAATCTAAATTTATGGTTGTATAACATGAGGTACATTAGGTGTCTAGAAGATAATATAAAGACTGTGCATTAAGTGCTATGAAGGAAAATACTGGATGTCATGAATGAGAATAACAGAGGAGACTGCAGCATATCAGTTGTGTCACCACTGTCAGGCAGAAGCCATGTTACAATGTCCCCATTTAGTTTTACTGTTTTATTGATATTTTTAATGATTAGCTGATTATATTGCATTTATGGAGTAAAATGTGGTGTTTTGATATATGTATACACTGTGGAGTGATTAAACAAGCTAATTTAAATATTCATAATCTCTCTTGACTTTTATTATTTTTTAAATTTAAATTGATTTTTTTAATTGGCACATTGTAAGTGTACATATTTATGGAGTACAATTTGATGTTTTGATACATATTTATGTTGTATAATGATCCAGTTAGAGTAATGTGTATATAGAACATCTCATGCATTTATCATTTCTTTGTGGTGAGAACATTCAAAGACTTCTCTTCTTCTTCTTCTTTGACATTTATTTTTATTGAGGACATACATGCAATAGCAGGGAGGTGCTTCCCTGTGCCACAGCAGCTGCTGCTCATCCTTGCCTGGCTTTTCTCTGGTTTTCTGTTTCTCTTGTTCCCTTGTGCAACTCACAGCTTCTG